TTCACAAAATGCTTCTTGTTGAAATTGAAAACTAAAAAAAATATTCCACTATTCAAATGGGTTTATGTAAATACAGCTTCAATAAAAGATTCAGAAATGTGTATCCTGATAGAAGACAGGTTACTTTAAAATCCAAGTGACTTTAAAAGCCAGAAACCTGGTAGAGCTAGTCTATAATGCCCACATAAGCACATTCCTGGGCCTTTTCAAGTATTCTCTTTACAGGAAAGAATAGTTTAAATGTTGATTTAAGAGATTATATTTTGAAATATTTACCAAATTTTATATTTTTATTCACACTATTTTATAGCACCAGTGAGAAAGACAAGGAAATTAAGATGGATGAAACTAAGTACTGTGGTTACTACAAGGTATATTGACTGTTTTTTGAACACAATAAATAATTGGCACATAATAGTCAAGTGATAGAACATGTGGATCACCAAGAACAGTTACAGAAAATTAGTGGTCAAAAGGTAATTATGCAGTTAAGTGGAACTCATTCTTTCATTTAATTGTATGTAGTTCTACTCATACTAAGGAAATCACCATTAATGTTTAGTGTTAACCAAATGTCCATATTTACAAGGTGATTAATTCAAAATACTCCATTATGTAGAAGCAAGTATAAACTCAGAAATATAATTACCTCTCTGTGACCACTGCTGCCATCAGGACAAATGCAACCACCCTACAAATTAAAAAAAAAAAAAAAAAAAAAAAAAAAAAAAAAAATAAAAAAAAAAAAAAAAAAAAAAAAGGAAACAATTATTGCTTTGTGGAAATTTAAAATAAAATCTAATTTCAGATGCAAAACTTTTAGGGGAAGAAAGTCTGTGGGAATACAGAGAAGGTATGACCTTTGGTATGCCTAGAACGAATGAGGGAACAGCATAGATGTGTGCTGTTAATGCTTGCTTTGGAAGTCAGACTGATAGTGCATCTCCCAGTGGGATGTCCCAATGACAGATGCTTCAGCAAGAGAGAAGTCTACGGTAGTAAGGAGTATCCCATTGTGCTACCACATGTTATGTTGAAACACTGCTAAAAAGTGATTTCAGAAAGCCATTTCTGATAAATTTAACAAGAACAGGACCCCTTTATTTACAAGTTAATGGATAACATCACGAATCTTGCATGTAAAACTACTTAAACTCAGATTTCTGAATTTAATTAGTTTAATTAATAAGAAGATATCTGAACAAGACTAGTCAAAAATAAGGAAAATCCTTACCTGATTACTTGATCCACTGGTTGCAATAAATGATCCACCCTGTGAAGAAAACAATTATATTTTATTAAAGCATTTTATTAGAACCTAAAGTATAAAACTATGTAGTGAGAAACACTATTACAAACTCTATTACTTCCCTGAACCAACTAACATAACCTGTTGTATTTTTGTGAAAATACAAATTCGGATGAACCTCATTAAGTGACTTGATACAATTTGCAGGGAATGGGCATTAGGGAAACTAATTGAGAAAACTGTTACCTTCCAGAGCTCAGAGATCTGTCTGCAACATTGAATTAACCTCCAAACTCTCTGAGACAGAGGACTCTGCTACTGTTAAATCTCCATAATGCTGGGTGTAGCATGATTTCAGACCCCTGGGATGGGTACCAATCCAAGATACTAAGAAATACAGAACAAGGTGCCACTCTGGATCAGTTAAATTCCACATAATTCTCTACAATAAGCACTGGTGCAGCAGTACATAATCCAACAGAGTATGAAAGTTGGACCTACTTTTGTAACAGAAGTACAAAATGTACTAAAATGTACCTTCTTACCAAATGCAAAAGGAAACAATTATATATATGGCCGTTACAATGAAGAATGCAAGAATGTTTCTAAAACAAGAATCTGAAAATATATAGTTTGTGGTTTTCAAATTAATTTTACAAAATGTCATATAAAGAAAGACCTGAAATTCTTAGCTGCTTAGTGGGGTGAAGGAACAGAAGAAACTATCTTTTCTGAGCCTAATATCACTATTTACAACTGTGCAAAATTATAACATTCTGGGGAAAATGCTGTCAAATCAAAATAGCATCCTTCAGCACAAAAAATTACTGGAACCTTACTTTCAAAATGAAATATAATTTATCAGAAATTGCCTTGATATCATGCAGTTGACACTACATTATTACCTGCATGTCAGAATGGCTGCTATTTGAAGGAGAAGATGCGTTCTGTAAAGAAAAAAAATAAAATAAAATAAAAAAGATACATATCTGTATGGGTAATAAAATAAAATACATAGTTATATTTGGAAAGAAATACCTAACCCTAAGTAGAAGAAGCTGTTTTTTGTGGACACTAAATCCTTCTTCTTTTGTAGGTAATACACAAGGAGCTATAAGCTTACTACTACCAGCAGTAGTTCAGAAAAAGGAACAGGAATGGTTTACCTGTACATCATAGGCTCTTCTGCTTAAAACATGTGACGTGTCCTGTAAAAAAATAGTGACATTTACAATGAGGAGATGAAAAGTCTATAATCGGTGACAGGTAATTTTTTCTTTACATATTATTTGTTTATAATAGCACCAGACCCATTATTGTGTACATTGAGTAGGAATGCATTATTATAAAATAAAAGGCTATTTGCATATAATTTTAATAAGGCTACTGCTGAGTCTGACCTGCAACTATACAGTACAGATATCTGTATCTCCTATTATGAGCCTAATAAAATAGGAAATGTTATTATTTCTTACTTATTAGTCTATTTTTCTTTAGCTAAAATGTTAGCGGTCCTTTGTTTGTAAGATACTCATTTAATTTTAAATTTAGCTTGGATCAACTCTGTATGTGCTTAATGAAGAACAGGAATTTGAGCTACCCTGTACTTCAAAGCATGATTTTCATGTCTTTTTCTTTTCCATATATATACTTTCTTTAAAAAGAAAGTATATATTCATCCAAAGAGCAAATACCCAATTAATTTTATTTTACTTTTCCGTTATGTAGGAGGATATTGACTACTATAAAAATGATTAGGGACAAATCAGGTATAGTTAAGACAGATTAGGTATTGTTAGGACTAAAATCCTACAAGCAGGAAAAAAGTGAAAGAAAAAATGTGTTACTTACACGGGCAACAACTTTCTTCTTTGCACAACCAGAACGCTGCAAAGGAGCCACAAGCCTGTTAGTACTTTATAGATGTAGCTCTCTACACAAAATACTTTAACAAAAATCTACTACTTGTCAGGGTGATGTTTGGAAAAGGAAGATGTCCAGAGATTTTGTTTTATTAGCAGTAAGATTCTTAAAAAGCATATTCCTGCTTAGGGGAGTCTCCCTCAGCTGAACCACTGTAGTTTAGTAGTTTAGTGTACAATCTGTATAAGGATCCTTTCTCTCTCCCTTTTTTTTTTTTTTTTTTTTTTTGTCCTCCCCACCCTTCTTTTTAAGATAGTTTAATTTCTAACTCTCTAGCAATGCAGTCCAGCCAAACAGATTGGATATAGTAAGATACAAGGGAANGCCATACAGATTGGATATAGAGATAACCAAGGGAATACTAACATATTTCATGTACAAAGGAGGAAGTGAGGAGGCTCCTAAACAGGGCTTGCTGATGAAGGAATTTTTTTCAGAACATTTTGAATTGGACCTGGTGCAATGAATTCAAGGTAAATACAAGCCAAAACAAAATATGTTTTCAGAAGGCCTCTGTACAGTCCAGAATACATTTGGTGCAGTACTTAAATACTATAGAGGGAAAATAAGGACAACAATGAAGCAGAATAGTGAATGGCTGAGAACTGAAAAGGCAAGTAGCTGATGACAGAAGGTTGCTCTAGATGGCAGTAAAACAAAAAGAGGCTGTGACAGATGGAAAAAAGCTTTTCTATGAACAGAAACAAGTAGAGAAAATGTAATTTATTTACACAAATTATTTACACAACAGTGTATTTTCTTGGTCACAATCTATTCATGTTAATCACCGTTTCTGCTTGTAGGACAGATGGAAAGTCTTGACAGAGAGAGTAATACCAGGCACAAATGTTACTTTACAATAGCAGCATGTAAGTGACATTAAATCTGAATGAGTGAGAAAAGCTTGAGATGGCTACATGCCTCATACACAGGTGATTAATTCCCAAATTATCCAGTCAAAGTGGATAGATTCTGAAGAAAATGTATTAGTATATATTCTTAGAAGTGCCATTTGAAGTAATTGTGCAGCAGCCTTCAGTACAGAGAAATAATTAACTTTTTGAAGGGTATTATAAAGCAATCATATAAAAGTCCACAGGTCTAATATAAAAGTGTTCAGTTATTAACATCATCATTAATCATTAGAATTTGAACATTACAGAACAAAGTACTTACCTGACTATTGGCACTGTAGGTACTTTCATTCTGGAAAATAATATGTTATTACCTTTTAAAAATAATTATTTAAATAAAGCAAGCTTAAAGAAAATTAATTCCTGATACTGCATATAGACATAATGAAAATCACTTATTCCTCCTATTCTCCACAGCTTTGTCTAAATTGGTTTGAAATTCTACCATTGCAGTCTGAAAAACATTGTAATGACAACCTTAGATTAGTACAAATGTAACATGAAAAGCAGTGGAATATCTGTCACTTCTTCATGCATTCACAATATGTACTCAAAGATTTTCTTGCAGTTTTTTTTTTTAATTCATATAAAATGTACCCTTAGATTTTGAGGAAAATATCTGTTGCTGCAAATATGCAATATCTGTTACTGCACTGAAGTATTTTTATTTGTATTTAATTTCATCCAGTTAAATGCATTTAAAAGCATTAACTGTATCTGTAAACATATATGACAATTCTTAGCAAGAAAAGAGGCAGTTGCTGAAACAGCTGCTAGTGTGGAAACTCAGCATTCTTTCTGGATTATTCTGCTCCAAAGAGTGCATCTAGCAGAGCAATATTTTCTCATCTATGGGAAAAATGTTGTGATGAAAATATATTAAAGGAAGCATACTCACATCATCACAAGCGTTGGGATTATTATCATATGAGGAATCTTGTGACTCCTAGAAGGACATCAGATACCAGTTATTTCCTCACAAAAATGAATTGCTAAAAATACATTTTCATGTTTACTCTAAAAGACAGAAGAGATGATCACGCAAAGAAGAAGCTGAGTTAAATTAAATTAGGATTTTTATAAGAAAAAAAGGAGCCAAATACATAGCTGCAATAATGGCTGACAGGGAATGTTCCAATCCTCAGTAACAAAAAACTCAACTAAACAAATCCAAACCACAAAAAGGTCAGAAACAATTATATTTTATTAGATCTTTGAGTTGATAGAGGGAGTACAGAGTTGATTGAGGGACTACAAATATTATGTAACTAGGAGAAAGAAAGAACTACTTACTTGATTATCATAATAGGTGTCTGAGGATGATCCACCCTTTAAAACAAAAAAAAAAAAACAATCAAAATTGAAGAAAACCTGATTTTGTTTGAGCAGATGCTAAAGTTTATATGAAGTGATGTATAAGTAGTGAAATAGAGTATTACTTACTTGGCCACCACCATAGTTTTGTGAGTAGGATCCATCCTACAAAACAAACAAATACAAACTCTACTTCAGAAGAAACTGTGATTTGGTTCAGAGGCTGTAAAGCTGGAATAAACAATTGGCTAGGATTCCTTTGAACAAATACAATTTTCAAGATATCTGGATAACTATCAAACATTATAAAAATTCTTACCAGGAGAAAATCAAGGTCTACCTACCTGATTGTCACCATAATTTTGGGAGGATGATGATCCACTCTGCTAAAAAAAACCCAAAAAACCAACAAAATAATTAGAATTTACATTACCATATTGCTGATCAGATATTGATCAGTCATCATGGAAGTTAAAACCATCATAAAACCTTGGTGGAGGAAATACTTACTTGGCTACCACCATAGTTTTGTGAGGAGTATGAATCATCCTGTGAAAACAAAATAGCAACAGTCATAATGCTGGAAAGCTGAATTTTATCTGAGTCAATACAGCTATCCTAGTTTGCTGAGTTCTATGGAAATTCTAATAAAGAGTCTGTTTGCAGAGTATGTTTGAGTTACAGACTGGACATGGAGAGACTCTGCAAGAATCTAAATCCCCATGTATAATAAAACTGCATGGTGGATTAGAATTGCTTTAAACATTTTTACCAATGGATAATAAAGATCTACCTACCTGACCACCCTGTGATCCACCCTGTAAATCAGACAAAAAGGCTTTAGACACTCACTCTTTGGCCATGAAATATTTTTGATGAAAGCTATGATACTTGCTTATGAAGAGGAAGAAACAGAGGCAGATATGCAATATGGATATGATTTTTAATGTAATAAGCACAGATTGCCAGTAATGCAATGGTAAATACTAGATGAGACATAAATCAATGAACCTCAAACATTTAACTTTAAGTAATGTCTAGTGCAGAGATGAGCTCCATTCTGAACACTTTCTAGAGAATGTATCTTTTTTTTTTCTCCTGTAGAAAACCTAATTTATACAAATGGAATGAATTTATACAAATTCTCCTGGTAGCATTATTATACAGGAGGCTGTGACCTGTGAGTCTTGAGGAAAAGGTTTTAAATAAAACTCTCAGTATGTTTTGATGTTACCTCTTTAGGAGAGGAATGTAACTCCTTCCAGTGAAATCAGAAGAGACATTTGTAGAAGTATTAGTGTCAAAAGTGCACAATAAGAATAGTGAAATAATGAATTACTTAAGTGACCTGGATATTTGCCATTCACTAAAGTGATACTGAGGCTTCATTCAGAACAAAGAAAAATTAAATGAAAAGTATCTCTTAATGTTCTGGAAGATTTTAGAACAAAATTTAAGTATTTTCTTTAGTTTTAAAAATAAATAAGTTATCTTAAACATAAAAGCTGTTATAAAATATAATATTCTATAAGGTTATAATAAATTACATACAATGCATTGTACATTCTCACCACATAATAATACATTGTAGCAACATCTGTGTTGTTTGCATATTTATAAATATAGTATATATTTATATTACTAAAACACAGTGTTTGTTGAAGCAATCTCTTCAACTTTTCTGTTTCTTGTGAAAACTCAGTAAGAATCAAAAGAAGTATTGTGAATAAAAAGGAAACAATCTGTTGCCATTTTCTGCCTAATTTTTAACATCACAGAGGTGACTTCTTTAAACATAGCTGACATCTTTTAGGATAGTGGTTTGTAGAGCTCCAACACTTGAACTTACAACATATACACATGTAGCTATCTATAGTTCACTGCACAAACATTTTTTCAGGGACTCCAAGTGAAGTCCTAAAATATTTTCTGGCTTTTGATAGGAAAAGAGAGGCAGGTGAGCTCCAGCCCTCATTTAAGTTATGCCAGTTAAGCAGCTCTGCAGCAGACTTCTTTCCAGAATCTGGCCTTAATGTCCTATAGAATTAGACATTTCAAAACATAATGCTAGGAAAAAGGGGCAAAAAATATTCCAACATCCCTCTGATACTCCTGTGTATAAGAAGATAGTGAGTTCTAATCTCAAAATTTGTAAGAATACAAGAATTTGTGCAATATGAATCTGAATTTGGAACTAATTGAGGTAGTGGCAAAAGTAATTTCAGATGCATCTTAAAATAAGAGAAGAAAGCTGAATTACCTGGTGGCAGGGATTGCTATCATAGGAGACACCCTGTCAAAAACCAACCAAACAAAAAGATAAATGCCATTTTTCTTGCAAAGTAATTAGTTTCCTTAAAATTTCCTGTATGAGAATTAGTGTAACAAAATTCAACATATAACTTTACAGAGGGTGAGTTTAATTTTATTTAACCTTTTAAATGTGTGGCTTTACCCTCTGTCACTCTCATACTCCCATACAAGCATCAAGACACTTGCATACAGATGATCAAAGGAAAGAGGTAGGTTGGTAATTGATGTCTGTCTGTATTATCCCTCGCTTGGGATGGTTTCCTTGATTTCCTCTTGATTGGTAAAGATGAACTGTTGGTGAATTTTTTTGGAAGTAACTGTTACTGTTGGGTGACTATCTACCTAAATGTGGCCATCAATCTTGCTAGATTCACCACCATGGATTTTAGGCAAGGTTTCTGCTCAGGCCATTCATTTGCCTGTTTTGGGTATATTTCATGGTAACAGGATGAGGAACAGTACACAGAAAGGGTTCTACTTGTGTTGTCACTCTCCCATTATTACAGTACAGGTCTTCTCTTAATAAGTCAATCTGTGACACAGCTTAGCAGAAATAACACATTCTTCAGTGTTTATCACTTTCATTGCTGGTAATGGTGTCCTTGCACTGCTTCTTATGATGCTTTTGGAGGCATTTCCATTCATGCCTAACTTACATTAATCCTAATATTTTGGCTAAATACTGATTAAAATATCTCTATGATTATCTTTCATTCTGGTTGCTTTGATAATATATTTATTTAAATGTAGCTTTACTGCTGGCCTCATTCATGATCCTTTCCCTGGGATCTCATCACTGAATGCATTGCTTTAACACCATTGTAGACATAAACAAGTTGAAATGGAACCAGGATGAAAACTACAAATTTAATTATTGCTACATTGAAGCCACTCTCTATTCCTGCTCTTTTCTATAGAAATTAAATGGAGCAACATCCAAAAATTCCCAAGCAAAGACTTTATATACTTAATGAGTAGACAGATTAATCACTTGGTTGTTTTCCATGTGTAACTCAGAACGAGAGCAGCCACTTCATATTGGTTACGATGGCCACAATAGAAGCCTTTCCTGACCTCTGTGATAGATAAGTTCATGTAACAATGAAAACAATAGATTCCAAACTACAAAAAAGATAAAAATTATTAAAAGCATGTTAGTATTGCGATGAAAGCTGCGACTAGTTTTGAAATATTTTGGAGAAAAAGTCTTACTTGTCCACAGCCACTGCTGCCAAAATAAGCTGCAGATCCGCCCTGCTGGGGAAAAGAAAAAAAAGCAGCTCACGATCCAAAAATTCTCATTCTCTTTTCTCATTTCAAACACAGATATACATTTTCAAGGGCTTTAGCCGCCAGGCTGCTTCAAAGGCAGAAGACCAGCTATATCCAACTGAGAATTATTTGGTAAAACACTGAGTATGTTGAAAAATAAATTGCAACAGAAAGTTGAGAGCCAGAGCCATATGAAAAAAAGTTCACAGGACTTAGTTCTAAAGTGATACTTACTATATTATTTCAAGTTAGAAATCACTGGATTCTCAATGCATATAAGGGAACATAACAAACATGGTATATAATGACTAATGACTGACTGACGCTTACCTGTCCATAGGAACTGCCACCTTGAGACTGAGAACCCTGTAAGAAAGGCACAGAATTATTTGTAAAAAGAGCTGTGTAAGTGTAGTTCCAGCACAACAGAAGCAGAATACCAGAATCCCAGAGAAAAAAGGCCATTTCCATTAAAGGTTCCTCTCTACGATGTTCCTTTACACCTCATGGCATTTCAGTGGCACAAACCAAATCAAGAACCACCCAGAAACACTGAGAAGGAAAAACACACCCATGCCCCAAAACCCATTTACAGGACAGGCTCCTACAGAAAAGCTCAACACATTTCAGCAATAAAGTCTCACCTGGCCATAGGACTGGCTGCCTTGGGAACCCTTTAAATAAACAGAAGATAATTACCACCTTGACAAGAAGGCTTCTTTATAGAGCATGATATTTATGGAAATAACAGCTGCATGTGGGATTCCCTAAAAGGTTCTTCCTGTGCCAGAGGACACAGAGCAGTATGCTAACAGCTGTGCATCTGTGCAGCACATTGCCTTATTCTCAGCAGAAGCCATGGTCCAAATTGAGGCACAGACTGCCATGGGAAACATCACTCTCAAGTGTTCTCCAGTCTTGCCAGCCACAGAGAGATCAGTGAAGAACTTTCTACAGGACAGCCAGTTTGCTTACCTGGCCATAGGAGCTGCTGCTGCCTGAGAAACTTGGTCCACCCTAAGACAAGGACACCATTTGGTTACTTCCCTTTCAGTAAGGGGTCCAGCCTGCACTAGCAACAGCAAGCAGCTACATCCTAAAGCCATGCAGGGTGGAATGCAGAGCCAGGCATCTCTGGGCTCTCCTGAGGATGCTGTGTGATGATTTCACACACTGGGATTCTGATCAACGAGTAGCACATGCATAGATGTCGAGTGTGAATAGACACTTTCAGAGAAAATGTCCTTTAAAGTTCAGATTCTGAGGGTTTGCTAAGTGCCTTTATAGTGCCATTTCTGAAATGCTCTATTCTGACTGGTGACTGACTGATGCTTACCTGGCCATAGGAACTGCCACCTTGAGGTTGGTATCCCTGTGTGAAATTAATGATTGATTCACAGTTACTTTATTTGTGATGCAGTTACCACACTAATATCTATTTTTGGGATAAGAAAATAGAGTAAAGAGAATGTACAGACTCTACTGCTTAACTACACTTATTTTGATATTTCTTATTCTGGATAAATAGGTGATCACACTGTGTTCATTGAATAACAATCATTGCTGTCTCAGACAGTACTCCAATCTTAGGAGAGTTTTACAGGAAGGGACACAAAATTTTCTTATTATGTCTACTTTTCCTTCTTTTTTTTAGACACTGGGATTGGATGGCTAATGCTGAATACTAGGTGAATACTGATTTAATATATTTGTATTTTCCATTGGCCCCAGTTGCATAATTCCCTTCCTCTGAGAGAAAGTTAGGGTGAGAAAAAGTTTTTAAAAATTAAGACAATCTTATAAAAATTATAGCATCATAAAATGAAAACAAACCAATGCAATTCGAAGTAGCAGGTCAAACAAATTAGCCAAGGATGACTGTACTTAATAAAAAAATTCTCAGTAATATGAAGTTACTGTGATTCTAATGTGCTGTTGCAATCAGCCATTAATATAATCTCAAAAAAGTGCAGTCCATGTACCTGTAGATCTGTGCCATAGCTACCTGGCAGGGTTATGAAGACAGGGATTATCAAAAAGTATTTGAAGTATGCTGTCTATTTTTTCTATCTGACATAGAGATCCTGACAAAACTCATAGCTATTTTAGGACTGCTTTATTGTACATAAAAACTGTGAAGGGAGGTAGATATTCATTAGTTGCAGGTTCCAAGATAAATACCTCAGTCAGCTGAGAATCTGACCCTAGATTCTTTAATTTCTCAATGCTACTTCTCTGCTGACAGCAAAGCAGGAACCATAGAACTGACAATAAATTTTTATTATACTGTCAATTGGAATGAGAACAGCATCAAATAGACTATTTCTACCAAACTGTTTAAAGTTCCACCTATGAAAAAGATAACATAGCAGGAGAAATCTAGGATTCCTGTATATATATCCATGAAAAACACAACGGTCATGTTCAAAACAAAACACTTTAAATGGATTCAGAGATACATGGGTTAAGAGTTAAAAGTGAATTGAAGAAAGAATTTTTTAAAATTTGTTAACTTTTCAGGGCAATGGCACTTCACTTTCTCAAATGTTCTACTCCAACTAACATTTACCTGTCCATAGGAACTGCCACCTTGAGACTGAGAACCCTGTAAGAAAGGCACAGAGTTATTTGTAAAAAGAGCTGTGTAAGTGTAGT